ACTTTATTAATCACTTTTGACGGGTTTGATTTCAGTCTTTGAATTGATATTGTGTGCTCAGAACGCCTTTTTGCAATAATCTGAGGAAGTCTCTTTACTTTGTCAAATGAGTCTACCAATCAAAACACAGCCTTGATATTATCATACCCAAATAAGGACGTGACGAAAATAATCTTTTTGAAATTTGTTTGCAATAACGGGCGACAGTTAATTTTAAGGGCGTTAAGCATTATTGCCAGTCTTTATCCTTGTCTTAACATCTTAATTAATACAAAACGAAGTTGGAAATCACTTGAAATGTTAGAGTAACACACCATGAAGAGTTTTGTACAATACGAAGAGTGCACTAACAAACATGGTCATGAGGAAAAAATTCAACGCAGATTCCTTTCCGCTTTAATCCACAAAAGCTTCCTTGGGAACGGTATTGTTAGTGGCTAGCAAATGGTGTAAAGAGAACAACAACTGGAATTTGAAGGGCGTTGAAGATCCAACTAAAAAATGCTTCATTCGTTTTGGAAATGGTCACCACATTGTCATCTTTGAACAGGAATGGAGAAACGTATTTATCCCGCAGCACGTCCTTCACCTGTGGTTATGACAAACAGTTACGGTTGTTAGTGTCAATTTAAAGGTTTTGAACATTTATTAATGAATTTCATTGTGAAGGTTCCTAACAATGAAAGAAACATCTATGACGAAAGTTCTTCCGTGCATAAATGAATACTTTTGCCATCTGCCCGCCTTTTAGAAGAAAGCGAAGATACCACACGGTCTACTTACACGCCAATTCAATAAGCAAAAATACTTGTGGACCTGTTTTTTAGTACTTTTCAAGTTTGTCTAATTTTTTTCTTACTGATAATTTTACAATTACAAAAGGCTCCATATCAAGTAACAATCAAATTATATATGTGCAGTGCTTGGCCTTGCAGTCTCTTCACAAAAAAAATTATAGCGCACAATTCGAATTAATTTCTTCTCCTTTCCCACACTGGCGTAGCAAGCCCATGAGGAATAAGAAATGCAGGTGAATTACTTACTTTATCCATTACAGCCTTATCTGTTCCTTTGTTCGCCAGAAATAAAACGGGTGTTGACAGCCAGCTGGATTCCGGAACAATCTTTTTCGCTTCCTCAACAAACTTCTCGAGGTAGGAGGAAACTTCGCATTTTTGAGTAGTCAGCGAAGAGAGCGCCGGTTTGACTTCTCCAAGAGAGTTTTGCAACAGCTCAATGCGTGACACAGTGACCACTTTTATGTTCCTGTTAAGGCTGATTTTGTAGATTAACATGGTGCTGCCGGTAGATCCAGCGTGGATAGCAACGACGTACGCGACTTCGTTTTGATTTGGAGGAATGTTATTCCACCACAAATTGTTATTGTTATTGTTGTTATTATTGTTGTTATTGTTATTGTTGTTGTTGTTATTGTTGTTGTTATTGTTATTGTTGTTGTTGTTATTGTTGTTGTTATTATTGTTGTTGTTCACTCTGACCCCCGACCTCCTTCTTCGAACTCGTAATATGGCATCACATCCAGAGAGCGCCTGAAGCGAGATGACCAATGCCAGGAAAACCAAGGTAGTGAAACGCACCATTTTTGTTAATGAACCAATCAGGGATCTGACAAAAAATTACAGAAAAACTTTCACTAATCAATTTTATTTGCCTACAGCCGTATCTGAACGTGTGGCCAGCGTCTGTGACCAAGCGGTTAACACCTCGAACTCTGGGTTTGGAGGTTTAAGCCTCGCCCGTCGCGTTGTTTCCTTAGACAAGGAACGTTACTCCACTCTGACTCTCTTTGCCGAGGTGTATAAATGGGTACCAGTAAGATTGAACGAGAGTAATGACTTTGATAAAAACGGAAACAAAGGTTGTCTAGACTCAAAACAGACTCTAAACTACGTGGCTTGATAAATAGTATTATGTGAAAGTCCTGTTGAACAGGTTTCGTTTGAATGGTCACCCCATAGGATTTGATCCACAAACTAAAAAAGTTCGAACTACGTACTAAATAAATAGTACCATGTGAAAGTACTTTAATTGTTGCGCTCGATCTTTATCGAATATATGCAAGAATCATTCGATCAACTGGTCAGACAAAAATCAAGTAATATGGGACTAAAAATTCGGATCATCGTACGTTTCTGGGAAACGAGATGATTTCTGGAACGAGGTGATGAAGGCCAAGAAAACAACGATAGCAATGAAGCACAGCATCTTCGTAAATGTATCTGAAGCAGTAAATAATGATAATCAAACCTTAGTTATTTGATGTTATTAATTCTGTCGGACATAATTCACTGAACGGCTCGACGTTCATCCCAGTCAAACTCTCTATAACGGAGCAAGACGGCGGGTGGCAATGAACGTCAACCCATCAACGTTAAATTTTTATTTCTGATTACGTTTCAAATCAAGAACAAACATTTCCAGCAGCTCTTGTCAATTTAGTCAAATGTAGAAAGTCTTTAGACACGTATCAGTGACTTCAACGAGGTCATTAAGTCGACATCGTAGTAAAAAATCCGTTTTGGGATATACCGCGGGTTTTCTAGATCTTATGCTCTGGCGAACAGAATCTACCGTCGTAACTAGCCAAAATGTTACTTTGTCTGCATTAAATAAAAGCAACTCAAAATTCTTCATTGATAAAACAAATCCTTTAAAACACAGTTATTCTTACCGTAGATATCAAATGTTCTCGTCAAGCCTCCCAACTCTTTACAAACTTTTCCTGGTGACAGCCTTGTGAATGCGAAGCACACTGGAGAAGCTTAACAGCCTTTAAAGCTTATTTTAAGGTAGGAAAAAAATTCCCACGTGAACTTAAAGAATAAAAAAATCATTCCAAATGATTGCTTTTACAAAAATTGAGTTGTTATACAAGTTTGACTAACGTAGAATAATAGAATATTTTGTTGAAGAAAGAGACATTGTAATGTTACGTCATTGTCATGGAACCTTGGTACATTACATGTATAAATCTCAGTGTTTACCGATAATAAGAACTTAACAAAAAGTGCATGTACACTGACTAATTTTTGCACGATTTTCCTCCCTTTCTTTTGTTCTGTAAAAATATTTTTATTTTATTGAGTCTAGGGGGTTACATCATATTGCGTAACCGTTTGACGCTTTCTCATGGCTCGTCCGTGGCTGTAATTTGGTACTGTTTGTGAAGAAAAGTTTAATTAAGAAAGAAAAAGATAAGAAACAACAACAACAAAATTTATTCCTTATTTTCAAAACTTTATGCACGACAAAGAAATTTTAATTTAATATCGTAAGAGAGCAGGAGCCCATGACTGTAGTATCCTGAAGAGAGTTAAAACTTTTCTTCCTAGTTACAAACATTATAATTGAACAAACGAGCGCTTTTCTAGTGCAGGGGCCCGTTTCTCGAAAGTCCCGGTAACTTTTCGGGCCCGAAATCAAATATTTAAATCGAAATAGAAAGAATAAGAACGCGGGTCCTGGCTAGCAAACTACTCTATTTTGTTTCACTAACTGATAGTTCTATCATGCTAGATGCAAAACTTTTGAAACCTCGATCTTTAATATAAACGGAGACGGCTTACCGGGCCCGTTAATTATCGGGACTTTCGAGAAACGGGCCCCAGAGCCGTCAAATAAAAACAAATTATAAATTTTTAATTTTATTTACAGACAAAAAAGGCTATACTTCTTAAAGGAATCATTCACAGATAAGATGTGGCTTGTTTAGCACTTCGACCTCTTTTGAAACTTCTTGCTGCATAGACAATAACAAACGCTAAATTATCTGCAGGAGCCACACCATTGCATTGTCTACAAAAAAGCAATTTAAGACTGTTTCTATAACGTCTTCTGCAAGCCACGTATATGAACGGATTGGTCAAGGGATTGGCAAACAGTAGCGCCATTGTGAGGGTATGCTCCAGTCCAAGTTCATCGCGTGAAGTCTGTTTTCCTATGTCCACTGCCATACGGATCTGTAAAACAAAACGACAATAGGAAAAAAGAGAAAGGTGAAGATTGAACCTCATAGGAAGAAGCAGCTCTGAAGGGAGATTATCCAAGCGCATTAAAATTTAAGCGCTGGTGGCTGATAATTCTCAGCAGGATCATACAACCCGAAGCGAGCGCCGTTTTCCTTGTGCCCATGCAACGCCGTTTTTTCCCCAGACTAATGTATTTTTAGATCAATTTTCTAGCGAATTTTGACTGTAGAATGAGTCTATACAAATCAGAGAGCAAAAATCGGAGACAAGAAAATAGTACTGTACTGTTCTAAGGCCAGTATTAACTTTTTCAAGCCCTTTTCTCATTATCGTAGTAGGGATGCCCACACATACGAAACGGTGCTTCCAATTTCGCATGAAAATATACTCCAAAATTAGGCTACAAAAATGATCTGTGAAAACGTCGTTGCACGGGCTAAGTATGGGACTTTTAAAGATGTGGAAAAACAATAAAAACACTTTCGTTTCCATTTCATTTGTTGCTGTTATTGGGTTTGTTGGCAATTCGCCTTGTTTTTGTAGCCTGTGCCTGGCAGTTTATTGTCGATTATTTTGCCATAACCGTGTACAAAAAAAACAAGAAAATCTAAATATTTAAAAGGCTAATGGCAAGGAAAGCCAAGGGAAGCCACCGGGCTTATGAGGAAGGGATTATAGGGGCTTATAATTATAAGGAACGAAGGGGCGTCGCGAAAAGCAAGCCAAGCGAGAAAAAGACGCTCGTCATCTGAATCTCTGCACATTACTATTTTAGGGCCTGGAACAGGCTAAGGTTATGTTGTTAACGCCCTTGATCCTTGCAGGCCTACAATAATTTGATATTTTAGAAGAAGATGTAATCGATCGATTAATTTTTTTTTCAGCCGGAACAATCTTTATTACTACACCAATCTCATTTTAAATCTGTGCCGTCGAATAATTTTCATTCAAAATAAAAACTACACTCCTGTCACGGTATAACATACCAAGAGAGGAAAGTTGCAAATGCAAAACACAAATGCAATCGCTTTCGTTAAGGCAACAAATGTCGAAGTTGAATCTTCCACAGCGCGAGGTATTCTTCCTTGGAAAACCCTTCGTCTTGCTTTTAGAGAGAAAATGACGTGAAGACTGAAGAACAAGATTAAGAAAACGCATACAAATCCATGGGCAACAACAAGCGAAAGAAATATTGAATCTGATAATCCAGTAGGGGTTAAACTCAAGCTACAAAACTGACCAGTTTTGTAATAAACAAATTCGCCAATTCCAAGTAACGGAGGAGTAAAAAACGCAGACGTGAAAAGAAATAACAACAATAGCGCCTTCTTGATTCGCTTTGTTGTAAACTTGCATTGGTGTTTAAAAGGGGAAACAGTACAAAGAAATCTCTGAAAACTTAGAAGTGCCACGATCCACGCAGACCAGATAATTAAAATTGCGTTGAGGTAGCCAAAGAGAGAACAAGTTGTCTGTCCTCCCCACCAGCCACAATTTATGAACGAAGCAATGGGCATTAAACATTGTAAACCAACAGATACAGTATCCGAAGCAGATAGGCAACATATCAGCAGATGAATTTGTCTCGCAGCGTTTGTAGTTGTTGATCGCGGCGGCGCCTTTAGAACAGCAAGCAGTGCAAAGATGTTCACCAAAAACGCAAAGATGAACAACGGGAATATATCCACTTTAAAACACGCGTGTTCTTCAGAACCTGGAGGCGTTGAGTTGTTCATATTCAGTATATTTTTCGAATCAGGTTGCTCCTATGGCTATCTCAAAGTTCTTTTTGTCTCCTTCATTACGTAGATCAGATAATTTATCTAAACGACTGAGCTGCTACGTCAGTCCATATCGCAGCGCCTGCCAATCAGGCTGTGGAACGAAGAAAAAACACTTGTGTGAAAAAGCTCTTCGTTAATCATAGCCGTCGCTGCCCCCTATTTCGCTTTTCAATTACTAGAATCCACCAACACCTTTTACTTACAAAAAATCTAGCAAATTGGTAGTGGAATAATAAGAAGCTATAAGACAGATAAAATCTAAAAGCGCAGCTTTGTGTGCCCTTGTTAACAACCCATCAATAAACTCAAATTTTAAAAAATGTGTTTACGTTAATTTTTGGTATATAACATCTTCGACGTTTTTCGTTATCATATTTGAAAATTTTCAATTATTTTAAGTTTCTTGCTAGCATAAGACTTTTTGCTTGCATATTATAGTAACTGCCATTTTTTTTGTTTGAAAATATTTTCTTTGACTGCTGTGAATAAAGTACCGAGATAACTA